GACGTGGTAAGCAAACTAGGGAAATACCGGTGGGTAGGGAAGGCAAGAAAGGGCTTAGACCCGAAGAAAAGGGGGGAGGGGGGAGTCGGATTCCTGGTCAAGGAATACTTGTTTGACGTGGTGGGAGTAGTGGTGAAACCGGAGTTTGAGGAAAGCCTATGGCTTATGATACCTGGGGAGCGGGGTGAAAAATATTTGTTTCTAGGGAACGTATACGTCCCACCGTCGTCGAAGAAAGTCGCAAGCAAGGCGCAGGAGAACTTTGGACAAATTGGGGAAGGTGTCCAGAGGTTCAGTAGGAAGGGAGAAGTTGTCATGGTGGACGATTTCAACTCCAGAGTAGGGAAAGCTTCCAGTAGAGGACGGGCCATCGGGCAGCACGAACGAGACAACGGAGTGAGGATGCTTGAATTCTTGGGAAGCAACGAACTGATGNGAGCTTAGATCCGAAATAAAGGGGGGAGGGGGGAGTCGGATTCCTGGTCAAGCAACACTTGTTTGACGTGGTGGAAGTAGTNGATAAGGGGAGCACGCAGTTCCCAGAGCTGCACGTAAGTGCGATAGATATAGGTTGGACCGACCACTTCCTCATATGGGCAAACATCGACCGATCTAGAAAGATGGAGGGTAAGAAACAGAGGAAAGTGTTCCGGTGGAAAGCAGTGCGCTTGGGAGACGAGGGGACACGGGATGAATTCCAGAAGGGACTGGCTGGTAGTGTAGAATCCTTCAGGAAACTGCTGAGAAGCGTCGAAGACGGACAGGTAGACGTACAGGCAGCAGGGGACAGGGTGATTGAAGGGTGGGAGTCCATCGTGAACGCAACGGCAGAGAGAGTAGTGGGAACGAAGGTGGTACGATGTGGGGTATCGGTTAAGTGGTGGGATGACGAGCTGAAAGAAGAAATAGGGGAACGTAGAGAAGTCTTCAAGCAGTACCTGAGTGAGGCGTCTGAGGAGAGTGAAAAATTACAGGGCCAAGAATAAAAAGGTGAAGGGACTCTAATGAAAAAGAAGAAAAAGTGTATTTGGGACGAAGTAGTGCAGAAGGCCAACGGAGGCCTGGAGGG